GCGGGCGGGCGGGCGGATGGTTGCCCTTCCAGGAGTGGGGCGGGAGAGGGGGCGGGAAGGACAGGCCAGCCGGGTGGAAAATAAATAAACAAATAAAAGGGCGAAAGAAAAGAAGAAACAAAAAATCCAATAAAGCCAAAGTCTCTCTGCCTTGGCGAGCTGCTGCCTTTCCCCGGGGCCTGGAGCCTGGAAATCTCTGCATCGCTTAGAGAGTTATTATTCCCCCCCCCCTCCGTATCTCCCCCCCTTTCCCTGGGTCACCTTTCTAAACACACGCGGCGGTACAAGGAAAAAGAGAGAGAGAGATGGGGGGTAGATGGAGAGAAGCGCATGGGGAGGAGAAGGGGGCGGGCAGGCGGCGAAAGGGGGGCGCGCGCATTTGATATATTTTTATTCCTTTAACGCAGACAAGACCACGTCGTCTGTTCTTTTCCCCTCTCGCGCAAGCCAAAGATACACACACACACACGCACACGCACCAGAGAGGGTCATTAGCATTCAACACCAATACTACATCTCTACCACCACGGCAGAAGCAGGTTGCAAAGCGAGCGAGCCCAGCGAGGACGGCGCTGCAGTCTTAGGCGCTGGAGAAAGGGGAGGGGGGGGAGCGCTGGATCGGATCCCTGGTTGCACGGGATCCATTGCTTCTAATAATTGGGTGGGGGGGCTCAAACCCGTGCACGCGTGTGCATGCACATCCGCGCTCCCGCACTCACAACGACCTGGCTTGCACACAAGTGATCTTCGGAAGCCAGGCTGTGGGGGAATCTTCTTAGCAGAAAGGCCGAAATAATTGGTGGGGGGGAGAGAGAAGGGAGAGGGAGGGGGCAAAAGGTGAGACGTACCCCCCCATCAACGGGACGCGATCTCCCCCCGCTCTTCCTAGCCCCGAGCCCAACACAACGCACAATACAGCAGTCAAATCAAATTTACCGCAGAGAGCGAGCGAGCGAGCGAGAGAGAAGGTGAAGTTTTTGACCACCTCGGCTTCTTTGACGGTGAAATAAAATGAAAATGAAATAAAATTTCTTTCTCTTCCCCCCCTCCCCGCAGTCCTCCTCCTCTGCAAATGTACCCCACAGAACTAGGGCTGCTCTGGAGTGGCCCAGAGAGACCAGCGAGGCCGTGGAGATGACAGAGGAGCCCCGAAAGCCGGCTCGCGGTCATTTGCATATGTTGAATCATTGAGATGTATGTAAATGTAACGGGGCCGCTGCTTGAGCATTGATCAGGAAGAAGCAAACAAAACCTAGCGGAGTTGCAGAGGAGCCGGGAAAGCGGGGGGGGGGGGGAGGGGAAGGATCCTGCCCGCAGCCCTCCTTTGGCGGGCATCCACTCTGCTAAGAAGAACCAGCGCCAAGTGCTCGGAAAGGGAAGGAGAGGGCTTTTCGGCAGCAGGGCAGTTGGGGGGTGGGGGGCAAAAGATAAGCCCGTCCTCTCACGAAAGGCCCGCAAGAAGTACAGTACAGGTTGGTTGGTTTGCTTGTTTGCTTGCTTTGTTGGATGACCGGAATTGTCCCGCTAGCATCCCGAGAGGGAGGCATTTTCAGGCTGGAAAGCTCAGCAAAGAAGGGCTTGTCACACAGACCAGGTGGGGTCTTGAGGGGAAATCGGTGGCAGTACACGGGGGATACCATAGAGGGCGCAGTTGAGACCGGGGGG